TAGGGTCTATTAATAGCCCCATTTTACAGATGAGGACATCAAGGTTCAGTGCAACTTAGTATCTTGCCTGACATCACATGGCAGGTTAGTGGAAGAGGCAGAATTTGAGTCCACGTCTGTCTCGCGGAACAGCACGTGTTCTTGACTGTTCCACACAGCTTCCCAGCTATAACAGTGGACTTCGTGCTCTCTCACACACACACCATGATACAGGGGACTAAAAAGGGACAGAAGAACACAGATGTACCAGGCACTCGCACATATGCCAGCCACATTTTTTTTTTTTTTTTTTTTTTGAGATGGAGTTTTGCTCTTGTCACCCAGGCTGCAGTGCGCTGCACGATCTCAGCACGCTGCAACCTCTGTCTCCCGGGCTCAAGCGATTCTCCTGCCTCAGCCTCCTGAGTGGCTGGGGTTACAGGCAGGTGCCACCACGCCTGGCTAATTTTTGTATTTTTAGTAGAGACAGGGTTTCACCATGTTGGCCACGCTGGTCTCAAACTCCTGACCTCAAGGGATCCGCCTGCCTCGGACTCCCGAAGTGCTGGGATTACAGGTGTGAACCACCGCGCCCAGCCAAACGCTTTCTTTTCTATGTGTTGTCTAATTCAGTCCTCAGGACAAACTCACCGGGTTAGTGTGATTCTTCACATTTCACAGAAAGGGAAAACAAGGCCTAGAGACCTGGGTGACTTCCCCCGTCACACAGTAAAATATCAACCCCGTGTCTGCCCAGCCCCAAATCTGCGCGCCTTCCACCTGCCCACCCTCCCACTTGTTTCCCTGTGGGCAGCCAGCCCCACTCACCGGCTCTCCTGGCCTCCTGTCTCCCCAGCCTCCAGCTGCGGGGTGCCCAGCTTCCCGCCCAGCCTATCCGCCCGTGTGGTAGGAGGAGAGACTGCCCAGCCCCACAGCTGGCCCTGGCAGGTAAGCCTGTGTGGAGCTGGGAGGTAGAGATAGAGAGGCTGGTGGGGTGAGGGTCTCAGGGACCTGTGGGTTGACACACAGCCCTCCCCACCCTCCTGCAGATCTCCCTCCAGTACCTCGAGAATAACAGGTGGTGGCACACGTGCGGCGGGACCTTGATCGCCAGCAACTTCGTCCTCACCGCCGCCCACTGCATCAGGTGTGCGGGGATGGTACCCTGAGACCTGGCCATCACCCATGGGCGGGAGCCTGATACTCTACTTTTACTGAGCAGCTTCTCCACACTCCAGGCGCTGGGCTACAGAAGCTACTCACACCCAGTAGCTCATTTACTCAGTCAAGTATTTATCGTGCATCTATTATGTGCCAGGAACCAGTAGTGAAGACAAAGTCTGTGCTCTCGGGAAGCTGATATTCTTGTGGCAGGCAGAGCGGCAGACAATTAACAAGATATAACATCTCGGGTGATTTTAAAAAATAATAATAATAAGGTATTGGCCAGGTGCAGTGGCTCACACCTGTAATCATAGCACTCTGGGAGGCTGAGGTAGGTGGCACGAGTTCAAGACCAGCCTGGCCAAGATAGTAAAACCCCGTCTCTACTTAAAATCCAAAAATCAGCCATGTGTGGTGGCGGGCACCTGTAATCCCAGCTACTTGGGAGGCTGAGGTACGAGAATCGCTTGAACCCAGGAGGCGGAGGTTGCAGTGAGCCGAGATGGCGCCCATGTATCCAGCCTGGGCAACAGAGCAAGACTCCATCTCAAAAAAAATAAAAATAAATAAAAATAAGGTCAGAAGAGGAAAAACAGAATGAAGGGGTTCTATTTTTAAAGGGATGGCCAGGGGAAGAGCTGAAAGGGGGATATTTGGCAAATATTTGGGACATTTCAGAGAACTAAGAGGGGGTTATTTGGGCAAAGGCCTGGAGGAAGTGAGGGAGGAAATCATGGGTCTAGGGGAGGGGTGTTCCCGGTGGAGGGAACAGCCACGCAGAGGCTTGGAGAAGAGACCTGTCGGTGTGGTTGAGAACTAACGAGGAAGCCGGTGTGGCAGGGGCAGCGTGCGCTAGAGGAGCGTGGGAGGAGGGGAGCTAGAGAGGAAATAAGTGCAGGTCACTGTCAGGACCTTGGCTTTGACCCTGAGTAAGAGGGAGCTCTCAGAAGGCTTTCTGAGCAAAGGAGAGTGGTGGGCTGACATATTTTTGTATATTCCATAAAATATTTTTCATATAGTTTATTAAAAATATATATTGCAATATATTTCATTTTATATATTTCATATATAATTTTTTTTTTTTATAGAGACACAGTCTCATTTAGTGGCGCCATCATGGCTCACTGTAGCCTGGACCTCCTGAGCTCAAGCGATCCTCCCACCTCAGCCTCCCGAGTAGCTTATAGACCCCTCCTGGGTCCATAAGCACACACCACACCACCACACATTCCCAGCTAATTTTTCTTCTTGTTTTTTTGTTTGTCTGTTTTTTAACTTAGAAGCCCAAACCTCACCACAAGTTTTCTGTTTTTGTAGAGATGGGGATTTGCCATGTGGCCCAGGCTGGTCTCAAACTCCTGGCCTCA